AAAAAGAGAGAGAGAGAGAGAGAGAGAGAGAGAGAGAGAGAGAGAGAGAGAGAGAGAGAGAGAGAGAGAGAGAGAGAGGGGTGGGTGCTGCAGTTGAACCTGAAGTGTGGAAGCTTTTCGGGAAAATCGGGCCTCTGATGGGCTGTAAAGACGATGGTGAAGGACGCGGCGAAAGTAATCGGTCGCCTTAGGTCAAGGATTTCAAAAAGAAAGGAAAAGAAAAACAGGAAAATTCGGTCTGAGAGGTGAGTTCAGTTGTTGCTATCGTCCACTACAACGCACACACGTGGCGAGCGTTGCAGTCTGCAAAAGTAACCGTGACCTTTGTTTTTTTGTTTTTTTTTTTGTTTTTTTTGTGGTCCGATGGACCACGGATCAGATATTAAACTGATCAGAACAGATACTACACTTGATCTTAGCCAAAAGGCCGAGAAAGGTATACCTTTGTTTTTCTACTCTGCGGTCTGCCCATTTCCACGGACGATACGAGGGTATCTTGTGTCGAAAGGCATCGAAGCGATCGTTCAGCAACTAACCCTTCGGGGATCTCTGAGAGCATAATCGCACTAGCTCTATCTTGAACGTATCGGACCGCATTTACGGTCAGGCCTGGATGCATCTGACCGCAATTACGTCCATAATAAGTATAAACAAAAGAAGTCCTCTGCCCATTTCCATGTTCTGATGACGGACGATATGAAGGGTATCTTGTGTCGAAAGGCATCGGAACGATCGTGCTGCAGTTAACCGTCGGACATCTCTGAGGGCATACTCACACTAGCTCTATCCTAAATGTATCGGACCGCATTTACGGCCCGACCTGGTGCATCTGATCGCAATTACGACCATAAATAAGTGAAGAAGTCGTCGTGTGACTATGCCTTGCCTGCTAGAGGGTTCCACAGACTCTCATAAGTTTTTCATCCTCGTAGTAGTAGAGAAGAGAGCATCCTCCTTTCTCTGACAATTGAGCCAGTTCGATTAATCAGCGAACTCCTTGTACTATTTATATATATATATATATATATTATTATTATTATTATTATTATTATTTTTTAGTACTTATGAGCTCTCAGTGGAGTTGGAACTTAGGTCTGTATTTCAACAGTTTAGCTGTGTACCAACTGAGCTAGGCCAGTTGGGGCCCTTGTACTATTTATGACATTGACGGCAAGCTCTTTGTTGTCCTGTTTCTGACATACCTTCTCTCAGCCAGCAGCTTGAGGGAAAGTCACAGCTAAGTACCAAACTATTAAAAGAAATAAGCCTTATTCTCGTCTGTCACCTTAATTAACAAGCCTTCTTCTAGTTCTTACCCTAATTAAGAAGCCTTCTGCCCCTAATTAACAAGCCTTCTTCTCGTTTGTGCACCCTAATGAACAACCCTTGTTCTCCTTTGCGCCCCTTAATTAACGACCCTTCTTCTCGTTTGTGCCACTTAACGACCCTTCTTCTCGTTTTTGCCCCTAATTAACAACTCTTCTTCTCGTTTTTGCCCCTAATTAACAACCCTTCTTCACGTTTTTGACCCTAATTAACAACACTTCTTCTCGTTTTGTAGCAGTAACAGGAAAGCCTTCTGTTCTGAAGTTTGTACTCTTAGACCATCGTTTGTGCCCTTAATGGACAAGCTTTCCTCTCTGTTGGTACCCCGTAATAAACAAGCCTTCAGTTCTAAAGTTTGTACTCTTAGACAACCTTTACACTGAACGCCCTACTAATACTGACTCCAAAGGGAGGCACAGCTACTGGCAAATGCTCGGTTCTTGTGTTAGCTGGGCCCCACAGGGGGCCCCAACCCTGCACCCTGAACCACTAGTGCAAGGGGCAAACATGCAATTACCTCCCTCCACCGAGCCAGGTAACTTCCCTTCACCAAGAGAGGTAGATAGCAATGCTTGTAGGGATCCCCTGTATAGCCTTAGAAGTAGTGGTAGGTAGGTCATGAAAGATGAAAGAATTTGAGAGAAGGATGTAGTGTTGCAATAATGCGGCTCAAATCTGCAAAAGCTGATGGGGGCCCTAGGTCGTCACTTTTGGTCAAAGGCCGGACGGGGGGGTCAAAAGTCACGCCCTGAGTCTAAGAAAAACCTGGGCAAAGGCCTGAGGCCAAGGGCTACCCGGGGGAGGGCAAAAACCAGCATTCAGAGGCGCTACGAGGAACAGTTGACTTTGAGAAAGTCAACGGTCAACCCCAGCACGGGAATCCAGGCCCAGAGGTCAAAGTCAACCCGCTGGTCAGCCATGGCCGTAGATCAGATGCACATCATTGGTTGTCTGCAGGTATCCAGAAGAATCCGGTCCAAGTGGGACAGGTGGGAAAGCTGCAACCATGCAGCATCCAGGCCACTGGCTTCCGATTGATCTGGGCCGTCGATCCCAGGAGAGCAGAGGCTGGTCAACGTGAGTCAACACTATAAGTTGCCCCATCCCCTGCTTGGAGGACATTCAGCCTTGCGCTGGCTTGTTGCTGGTGCGACGACACAAGGCTGTGGGAGCTTTATGCTGGCGCCAGATTCTGAGTGTGGGCGCCAGCCTTGAGGGAAATTATGCTGATGTGGCCATAGCCACATCGATTTCGACATCGACAGGAGTGTGGGTGAGGAGGAGGAGGATTTGGACTGTGAGATTGGTGTGTGTGATGAGGGGAAGCTTACCTGGACTCACCTGTTGATGTCGTGTGTGCTTTGCTGCTTGTCTCCAAGACTAAGATCTGCGCCATCCTCCTTGATTGCTGCTGACGTGGATGGAGGATGGGCGCCCTGTTGTGACCTGTTCGTTGTATATGTCAGATATGGTCAGAGGGGAACTGTATTGCTGACGTGGTGACTTGAGGAGGGACTACTGCTTCATTGATTCTTGTTAGGGAGATGCTCGAGGAAGAAGTGGGCTTAAGGAGGGAGATGCCCGAGGAGGAAATGGGCTTGAGGAGGGACTGCTGCTTCGTTGATTCTTGTTAAAACTCTCTTCTTCCTCCTCTCAATCTCTTCTCCCACTCTCCTCACTCTCTTCTCTGAGCTCGAGGCCTCTTTTTGTATTTCCATGAATTAATGTGCATCGTTTGTAATCAGGGAGGCCCGTCCTTTTCAGGACCTTCGTCAAATTTTTGGATCAGCTTTTGGAATTTCATCTTTTCGCAAATCGAGAAATACATGGGAATTACGCGCGCCTTCGCAAGCGCGCTAGGAATTTGGGTCGACAGTTAGGAATTTCGGAATGAGCGGAACCTGACGTGTCCTTTCTTTTGTATGAATGTTCTTGACTTCGTCTTTGAAAACTCCGGGAATTTCCGTAGGAACCTGAATAGGTAGAGGACTTTTTCCCGTGCACGCTCTACTCGCGGATATGGTACTTTTCAACTTCGAATTCGCTGTAACCGTTTCGGTGCCCTTTTTGCCTTCGTGTCGGCGCCATGCATGCGAAGCTCCCCTACTCGCTTCCCTCGCTACCTTCGACACTCTTTTTCGCGCTCACGCTCCTTCTTTCTCTGTAACTGTTTTCCATATTTCCTTCACTTCGCGCGCCTTTTCTCTTTCTTGATCGTTTGAATCTTGGTTCCGTTTCGTGCTATCGTTCGCGCTCTTCTTCTTCCTGCTCCAATCCTCGTGCCGAAATACTCTGTCGACGCCTGCTTCCTTCCCTCTAGCCAAGTAGACGCGCCGTGTGAGAAGGAAAAATTTGATATACGAGGATTCTGATTGGCTACAACTGGGCTCCGAAGGATCGACATGGCTTTCGACGGGCAACTATTTCGAACTTCCCCTTGCCCCTCCCTTCCTCCTTCCTAACCCTTCCTAGCGTCTATCTCCTTTTCCGCAGCTATAAATTCCGCAAGCGCTCCCGAAAATCTCTCTCTCGATTCATCAGCCAGCTTCCGGGAAGCCATGGCTAGACGGTATGTGGGAAGGTGCGAGTCGAAAAGTCCCGACAAGCTGACTGTAGCCTTGGCGGCGGAGCGTTGGATCGTCCGACGAACTGTGGGATCCAAGCCAGACCATGCAGAGACTAAGTTGGCAGGGTGACGATCGTTATGGTGGATTACCACGTGACGGCTAAGATCCTCAATGCTTGTGAGAGTTTCGAATCGGAAGTGAGTGGGTGCATGGCTTGGGGTCATGGTGAAATTTATGACAAAAGTGTCTCTTTCGTCTCAAAATTTGTATCATCGCGCGTGAGTTATGATCACTTGGCTTTCAAGTCGAAATTTCCTTGGACAAGATCACCAGACATTCTGTAATTGCCTTCTACTCATTCCTCTTCTCTGATCTGCGTCTATTCCCCCTTACTCTCTCTTTCTGTCATGTTATGTTATAATGGATGAATCATGGTAACTTTGCTTCTCTCACTTTGAT